GAGTCGCTGGCCTTACGCGTCTGGACATGGTCCGGAATAGTGACATCCGGAAGAGCCTTGGAATACAGCCACGGCTTCTCCAGATTGAGAAGTCACAGCTGCGATGGCTTAGGCATATGTTGCGAATGCCTCCAGAAAGGAAGGCTAAGCAACTGCTCCTTGAAAATGTGACCGGCAGAAGGCCCAGGGAACGGTCAAGATTAACCTGATACAAATATATGGAAGGAGTCTGTTCCAGACTCCATTTGTCTTTTGCCGAAGCTCAGACTATGGCATAGGGTCGGGAATGTTGGAAGCTCTTTCTGACGTGTCTGCCTCTGCGACCCGAAAGGAGAAGCGGCGATGGAAGATGAAAATGAAGACGTCGTCCTATGAATTTTTTTGAAATTCAGCTGCTTGGGTTATTAGCGTTTTTATGTATTATTACAGTAATTAGGAATAAACTATGATGATTTTCATTAGTCGTTCTAATCGACAAAAATTTTTGAAAAGTGTGACGATGTCAAAGATGCATATTGTTTATTTTTTTCCAAACCATGCGAAGCAAGATGTCATATGAGACAGATGAAAGGATAACGAAGTAGAACTTAAAAATTTGAAAGATTCGACTGAGTGAACAACGTGGAAAGGGAAAAACAATTAATAGACAAACATTTTAGATACGATATAAGGCGATGAGCCTGAAGAATAAATAGAGACCTTGTTTGAAGAATGCGAAGCAATACAGGAAGAATGATCATGACCATGGAAGCATGGGGGAATGTACTGAGGAGCAAATCAAGCAAGAAGCGGCTTGAGGTTGCAGATTATGAAATGATAAGCGCAGTGTTCTTGCAAAAACTGAAGCAAGGAAGAGCCCATAGAGGTCGAATTCAACTATGCAGGAATAATGTCTAAAAGAAGACTAACGAAAGTATGGCAAAGGCAACACGTACATATCCAAGCTAACAACGGGAAATAAACCTTTTGAAACGTTGCAATACGTACTGTGGTATATCAGAAGTCTGCGGTAAATCAAAAGCCAATCTTTAAGGCCTTTAAGGCATAAAGACTTCGTAGCAAATAACTTACAGAATGGTAATAGTAGTGATCACGCTACCACTTGGTCTGTTTCAAACGCCGCTGCAAGCACTACACCCATTACAGGCAAAGTCGATGAAAGCAACTTCTGAGTTGCCGGCAGCTCAAAGCTTATTCAAAGCTATTCCACCCTGTACGGATTTACAATTTTGCTGCTCCTCGTCATCGAGTTTAGACAACCAGAAGAACAAAAGCAGCCGACTGTGAATCCTATCCTTGAAATCCTCAGCAGGACTTTTAGGGAGAGCATAGCTGTGGAAAGTAAGCCTGTTCAAGACTACGTTGATGCAGAACTTTATACCAGCATAAAAATTTGATATAGTAAACATTACGCAGTTATTTTTTTGTTAAACTTTAAAACATGTAAATTGGAGTCGTGAATTGTGAGAAATGTTTATGGATCAATTTTGAATTGGCACATATTATAGATATCGGCATAAAATAATGGACAACTCATTCAAAACAAAATTTCACTGCTTCCTTGCTCCGAGTTACCTAGAGGGGTCATTTTATCAGGTCCCGGCCTCATGGTAGTTCAACACCTGCAGTGTTAGCTGTATCTTGCATCATTTTGTTTAATAGAAGTACTTCGCTCTCACCATTCACAGTTGTATAAATAAAAAGCATTTGTTTTATCGAAATACGAATTCTTTCAAAATATGTCACTCTGAAATATAATCCCAGTCGAAGCCAGAACAGTCACACAAATGTGCTAGTTTTAAACAACTCAATCAAATTTGACTGAAAGAGTTGTTCGTCCATGCTATCGCGATTTGCTCATCCATTTGTGCTGGATATTTAAATTAAAACTTTTCCGTAATTTCACAGAGCGCATGTGCCAATTTCAACAAGTCAACGATCAGCTCGAATATTGAGAGATCTTTGTTAACTCTTTAATCTAACAGACTACTTCTTAGAGTCATGGAAGCACTTTGGTCTCTTGCTTACCGTCCAGAAGCTCAGGCGGGCTTGTCAATATGGCATCGTGAAAGTTCAGAAGGAATTCAGGAAGAAAGCAAGCTTTTAATTGTTCTATGACCTAAGATCCACTGTGAGATAGCGGCAGTTGTGCGCTGTTTTTTCTCGCAAAACGCAACTTGTACATAAAGATAAAAGCGCAGTTTCGGAATGTCAACTTTCGAAACTCCATTTATAGAAAAAGCGATAATGTTTCATCAAGCTAAAAGCATGATCGAGCTGCAACTTCCAGTGTAAAGAAGCCATGTGCATTTAATGTTTTCGATTCGTCATAGCGCAAGTACTGCATTATTAAAAAATTTGTTCAACTGAACTCCTCCTTTACCGGTCGCAAAACCAGATGAAAAAGGGGAGATGTCTCATAAATTTAGGCACCTGCCCTTCATGACAT